CTGTTGGTAAATTAGGAAAATGATTTTAATTTATTCTTTGTTAGTTGACACCTTTGTCTGTGCTCCAAATTCAAAGATCAATTTGCAAGGTCATCGTAAACTTAAAGAAAAGACTGGTGAAAATGATGAAGGCATGTCACCTAGAGCCTGACTCCGACTCAAAGATATGTAATTTAGATCCAGTCTGTACTATATGTATGAATTTTGACAAATAAAAAGTTAACTTTGACGTTCAGTTCACAAGGAACCTTAGGGTCAACTTTGATTTTTTTTTTGTTCTTTGATATACCAGTAGCTTACTTTCACCCCCCCCCCCTCTCCCTCCCTTTCTCAGCGCAATAGGATATATTTTTACTTTAAACAAAACCTTGGAGTAACTCAGAATTTCAGGATTCTGAAGTCAATGAATTTTACTAGATATTTCTTAAGTTGCAGGCACGTAGTATCGGTTTTGAAATGCGGAGGCGTTGGGGGGGGGGGGGGGGGTCGAACTTGAAAATCCCATTTCGTGGGAGGGAGGTCCAACTTCTCAACTTTTTCCACATCATTTTTTTTTCATACATCACCACATAACCCTGCAACAAAAAGTGGGGGAAGGAAGCTACTAGCCCTTCAATGGACATTTTCGATAGAGAATGTAATGTTAAAAAAAAGGGGACAGCCCCCCCCCCCCAATACTTCGAGCCTGAGTTATAATTACATCCTGTTGATATAATTCCTTATTATTTTGCTGCCCATTGATCTCTTTTGCATGAATAATTTAATACTGTTTTAAAATTGCGTTGATTAATCTCAAAATGGGCGATTTTCGGTATTTAAAAAAATATAATTTGAACCTTAGTGCAAATAGGTCAAAATTAATACTAAAGTAAGTTATATTTCCTCGTTTACCATTCTTATTTGTTAATAAAAGCTTCATTTCAAGGATCTTTTTGCATTCTCTATCTATTTTTTTTTTTAAAACATTCCTGAAAAAATAAATTTATTTGTGGAGAAAAACAGACTGCACATTATGCAAGCAATTTTGACTGCAGTTATGATATTCAGGTATATCGATACTATGGAGGTCATTTATTCTTTAAAACATTCTTTTTTGAGCAATATTTTCTTTGAAGTAAATAAACTATGCAATGTAAACATTTTAATGTAAGATTTTTTACGTATATCATACATTGATACATTAAATTAAGTTGTTATTTAAATGTTCTAAATTGACAGCAATAATGACGTCATAGTGCTCAAAGCGGTTAAATGCAATAAAATACATTCCATTTTTAGAGGGCTATTGCAACTAAACTACAAAAGTTAGATAAAAATTGTTGATATATTTATAAAGTGTACATCTTCAACTCATTTCTTTATAATTATTTTAAATTTTCAAAGAAGGGCCGATTTTCACTACTAACGTACCTGGCTCTTTGTTTGCCTGCTGCAAAATTTGCGGTCGGGTGCACGGTTATTTCAAACACTGATTTAAGAATATGATTTGTGTTAAAATGAAAGTTTTCCCTTGCAGAAGAGAAATTTAATACAAGAATTTTTAATTATCCATTAACTGTTATCTTTTGGATCCAGAATGAAACCACTCCGGTCGTAAACACAAGGGTCGAACACATATTTGAAACTTAACCACAGAAATGAACAAGAGAAAATGAACAAGAGGCCCATGGGCCACATCGCTCACCTAAGCACATTGGCTAGACACAAATCAGTTCAGTATTGAAAAGATTACAGGGGGTTGGGGGGTTGGGGGGGTTGAATTTTAAACTACCTGATGATGCTTCCATGTCAATATAACAAATGGCTTTGTTGTACTTGAGAAGACTTTAAAAAATTTTTCCCATATATTCTTTTGTAAAATTTTGATCCCCCATTGTGGCTCCTCCCTATCCCAGAGGTCATCATTTGAACAAACTTGAATCTACACTACCCGAGGATGCTTCCATATCAATATGACTAAACATAGCTTTTCTGTTCTTGAGAAGAAATATTCTTTCTATGTGTTCTTATGTAAAACTTTCGGTCCCCATTGGGCCCCACCCTACCCCTGGGGGTTATCATTTGAAAAAAAAAAATTGAATTTACACTACCTGAGGATGCTTCCATATCAAAATGACTAAACATGATTTTCATTTCTTGAGAAGAAGATATTTTCCAATATGTTCCTATGTAAAAAAATTTTGATCCCCCATTGTGGCCTATCCCTATCCCCGGGGGTCAGCATTTTAACAAACTTGAATCTACACTACCTGAGGATGCTTCCATATCAAAATGACTAATCATGGCTTTGCAGTTCTTCATCAGAAGATACCTTCCTATATATTTCTATTTCATCTACATTGATCCTCCATTGTGGCCCCGCCCTACCCCGGGGGTCATGATTTGAACAAATTTAAATCTACACTACCTGAGGATACTTCCACATAAATATGATCAATCAGGGCTTTGCTGTTCCTGAGAAGAAGATTTTTAAAGATTTTTCCTATATATTTCTATGTAAAACTTTGATCCTCCATTGTGGCCCCGCCCTACCCCCAGGGGTCATGATTTGAACAAACTTGAATCTACACTACCTGAGGATGCTTCCATATAAATATGACTCATCATGGCTTTGCTGTTCTTGAGAAGAAGATTTTTAAAGGTTTTTCCTATATATTTCTATGTTAAACTTAGATCCTCCATTGTGGCCCCACCCTACCCCCGGGGGTCATGATTTGAACAAACTTGAATCTACACTACCCGAGGATGCTTCCATATCAATATGACAAAACATAGCTTTTCTGTTCTTGAGAAGAAATATTTTTTCTATGTGTTCTTATGTAAAACTTTCGATCCCCATTTGGCCCCACCCTACACCTGGGGGTTATCATTTGAATAAAAAAATTGAATTTACACTACCTGAGGATGCTTCCATATCAAAATGACTAAACATGATTTTCATTTCTTGAGAAGAAGATATTTTCCAATATGTTCCTATGTAAAAAAAATTTGATCCCCCATTATGGCCCATCCCTATCCCCGGAGGGTCAGCATTTTAACAAACTTGAATCTACACTATCTGAGGATGCTTTCATATCAAAATGACTAATCATGGCTTTCCAGTTCTTCATCAGAAGATACCTTCCAATATATTTCTATTTCAGACATTGATTCTCCATTGTGGCCCCGCCCTACCGCCAGGGGTCATGATTTGAACAAATTTAAATCTACACTACCTGAGGATACTTCCATATAAATATGACTCATCATGGCTTTGCTGTTCTTGAGAAGAAGATTTTTAAAGGTTTTTCCTATATATTTCTATGTTAAACTTAGATCCTCCATTGTGGCCCCACCCTACCCCTGGGGGTCATGATTTGAACAAACTTGAATCTACACTACCCGAGGATGCTTCCATATCAATATGACTAAACATAGCTTTTCTGTTCTTGAGAAGAAATATTTTTTCTATGTGATCTTATGTAAAACTTTCGATCCCCATTGGGCCCCACCCTACCCCTGAGGGTTATCATTTGAATAAAAAAATTGAATTTACACTACCTGAGGATGCTTCCATATCAAAATGACTAAACATGATTTTCATTTCTTGAGAAGAAGATATTTTCCAATATGTTCCTATGTAAAAAAAATTTTGATCCCCCATTGTGGCCTATCCCTATCCCCGGGGGTCAGCATTTTAACAAACTTGAATCTACACTATCTGAGGATGCTTCCATATCAAAATGACTAATCATGGCTTTGCAGTTCTTCATCAGAAGATACCTTCCAATATATTTCTATTTCAGACATTGATCCTCCATTGTGGCCCCGCCCTACCCCCAGGGGTCATGATTTGAACAAATTTAAATCTACACTACCTGAGGATGCTTCCATATAAATATGACCAATTAGGGCTTTGCTAATCTTGGGAGGAAGATTTTTAAAGGTTTTTTCTATATATTTCTATGTTAAACTTAGATCCTCCATTGTGGCCCCGCCCTATCCCCGGGGGTCATGATTTGGACAAATTTGAATCTACACTACCTGAGGATGCTTCCATATAAATATGACCAATTAGGGCTTTGCTGTTCTTGAGAAGAAGATTTTTAAAGATTTTTCCTATATATTTCTTTGTTAAAATTTGATCCTCCATTGTGGCCGCGCCCTATCCCCGGGGGTCATGATTTGGACAAATTTGAATCTACACTACCTGAGGATGCTTCCATATAAATATGACTCATCATGGCTTTGCTGTTCTCGAGAAGAAGATTTTTAAAGGTTTTTCCTATATATTTCTATGTAAATCTTTGATCCTCCATTGTGGCCCCGCCCTACCCCCGGGGGTCATGATTTGAACAAATTTGAATCTACACTACCTGAGGATGCTTCCACATGAGTTTCAATTTCCCTGGCTTTGTGGTTCTTGAGAGGTAGATTTTTAAAAGATGCTATTAATTTTTCACTAATTCTTTATTATCCCCCCTTGAAAGAGGGCGTGGCCCTTCATTTGAACAAACTTGAATCACCTCCACCCAAGGATACTTTGTGGCAAGTTTGGCTGAAATTGGCCCGGTGGTTCTTGAGAAGAAGTTGAAAATGTGAAAAGTTTACAGACGGACGGACAGACAGACAGACGGACAGACAGACTACAGACAAAATGTGATCAGAAAAGCTCACTTGAGCCTTCGGCTCAGGTGAGCTAAAAATTAAAATGATATGAAACTGTAAAATTTTGTTGTCTGATACAGAATAATATTCTCATGATTTTCTAACTATGTTTCAGTGGTCATTCCATAAAAAAAAATCCCCCCCCAAAAAAATTTCCCTACCTACCTACCCTAATTTTTTCATCAGTGTTACCCGAAACACACATTTTTTTTTTTTAGGCCCAATGTGTGTCTTTTGAACTATTAGGTAAGGAATTACTTTTTCTTTTAGTGATAATAAAAACACGATGACAAGTGTATTAGAGATTTTTTTTTACTTCACTGTCAAATTAATAAATAATTGTCAATTTTTACCTTATTATATCGGGCCAATTCATTGATAAGACACATTGGGGTTTTCTCTTTTGTGTTTGCCAAGTCTTTTGCTGGACTATGTTCATCTGTTGCATTGACGGGAGTTGTAGCATTTGTGTTGGTTGCTTGTAGTGGTGGCATTGTTGTGTTGGTTGCTTGTAGTGGTGGCATTGTTGCTGGGCTGTTAATTACGGTTTGTTGTTGCACCATTCCTATAACCCACAAACAATCATGACAATGTACATCAACAATAGACTGCTATGAGCTTTCAAAATTCACTCATTCATCATTTAACGTATAAAATCACCATTAGAGTCAGAAGTAAACAATAAATGCTCTGTCAGACATCTTCTTTGTTATCTACACAGAAATCTATTAAACTGTGTTTATCCAAATTATTATGTATTTCATGGCATTTATATATCAATCGTCTTCTAAGGAAATAAAAGTCATTGATCTCCATACAGATAATCTTCACCTAATGATAAATACCCACGCAAATATAACACAACCTACAGATAATCGTCACCTAATGATAAATACCCACGCAAATATAACACAACCTACAGATAATCGTCACCTAATGATAAATACCCATCCACATACAAAACAATCTGCAAAATTCCCGTTCATCCTACTTTGAACAGTATTTTAACATACATGTATATCCTGATAGAGATTTCTACTTCACTGCTGTTTCTACTCACCACTCTGTGAAATCTGCCCCACAGGAAGTCCCATAGATCCATTCTGATTGGCCAATGGGACTTGTGTGGGAGTCACTGCAGGTGAATGATTGGCTGCTGGTATTTGGTGCATTGTGGTATAGCTGGCAGCAGGCATCATGGGATTGTTTGGTAGTGTTGGGTTAACTGTATTCTTTTGTACAATGCCTGCCCCCATCATACCACCTTTTGTACCTACAACATAAAATAATAAAGCAAATCAGTAGAAGAAACTTCAACTATTTATACCAGACAGAAAAACAAATAAGTTATCAGACAAAAGAATTATCTCCTTGCTTACACTTTAATAATCACTTCAACAGGTACTTGTTTATGGTTTAAATTTTTAAAAACTATATCATTTCAAATTTTTAAGTTTGATGATAATATTAAAACCCCTAACCCTGACAATATTATAATCAAAAACATTACTATGGACAGTATCTGAAGTATTAAACATAGAGTACATACGCTGATTTTGTGTTTGTGAGTTTGTAGGTTGACTAGAATTTACGTGCACACCCATCCCTGCATTAGCTGGAAAATTTGTAATTCCTCTGGTTTGCTAAAAATGAAAAAGAACAAGTCTATAGTGTTTTATATGTCATCTACTAGCCTTAACCCTGTATAGTAATTTAAACTAGAGGCACTGTGAGTGAGCTAACAAAATAATACCCCCGCCACAATTTTTTAAGGTGCCCATTCAAATTTTGTAAATGTGACCTTGAACTTACCAAAAAGACCTTGATTAAAAAAAATGACACATCTTCTGGTCATTAGTAATCTTTCAGTGAAATATGGACATGCAATGTTTCTCCTGTAGAAAATTATAGACCTGTTATGAATTTTACACTTTTTTATACCAGTGACCTTGAACTTGCTGGAATGATCTTGGTTCAAGGTCATCACAAACCCTCAGGTCATAAACAATACAACTGAAAAAAAAATTAGACTGATCTTTCTAATTTCAGTCCTTAAAGGGGCCTGGACACAGTTGCATTGCTGTTTTGTTTACAACTTTCAATTTCCATTTTTATTCAAAAAATAACCTCAATTTAATGAATTGAATTTACATGAAAATACTTAAGATTCATTGACAAAGACATTCTTTATAACATCATTTTAGACATCAGTATTTGTAAACATGGGCACGAGCTATGTTATTGTTTACGTTTTACTGGGTGTTTTCAATTTTTTAACTTTGCACACATCACTGAACACAAACTGACAACATTTTTGTGCCGCTTTTGCTCTCTCACTACACCTTAATGTCAGAACTGAAAGTATAGACTAAAATCCACAGTGTAAATTACTTTTACACAAAAGTCATATGCATTCTACAATGGAGAAAACGTTACACATGGCCAGCGGGCATGTGACTCTTCATTTTTTACACGCCCGCCTGCAATTTTACCAGGTCCCAGGCATCGGACTCCCGGGTTATTTCCAAGACTTGAAATTGTTTTTTGACACAACTGTATATATGCAGAAGTTATTTCATCACATTATGTTCATAAGTAAGCCATAGCTTCTTATCTTTTTGTTTTGAAGGTCTCTAGTGCATTTAATTTATAACATTTCTATACTTGAGTGACAGTCTCCTTCTCAACTTTTTAAAAAAAAAAAAAAAAAACTGTCTCCTTACTTTGTGTTCTTAAGCACTTTTAAGCATGATGACCAAAAAATGACAAAAAATAACATCTAATTAAGTATGAACAGAAAAAAATCTATCGGGATGGGAAAATCATAAGGAAGTTGTAAATATTTAATCAGGATTTCTTTTCTTTCAGAAAAAAAACTGTTTATTGACATTTTTTAAATAAAATACTAAAAGATAAATAGATAAACATCAATGAAAATTTTAGTAGCCCAATCAAGCTACTGCTGACTTACATTTTGCACTAGTGTGTGGGCATCAGGTTTGTCCTTTTGGCCCCTTCCCCTCAGGCCCTGGGGTACTGATTTGAAGAATCTTGAATCTACATGCTCTTAGAATGCATCCACATTAATATTACTAAAAAGAGCTTTGCTATTCTCCAGATGATTTTTGAACATTTTTTTCATTCCACTCTATTTAAACAAACTTGAACGTCTACTACCTGAGAATGCTTCCATCATAAGTTCCATATTAATATGACTATTTATGGCTTTGTTGTTCTTGAGAATTTTTCCTGTAAACATGTATTCCTATGTAAAACTTTGTATGCCTAAAGTGGCCCCACCCTAGCCCCAGGGGTCATGATTTGAACTAAATCATATCTACACAAGCTGAAAATGCTTCCACATGAATAAACATGGCTTTGCTGTTCTTCATCAGATTTTTTTTTCATATACATTCCTATGTAAAAAATTGTATGCCTACCCTACCCCTACCCTAGCTCAGGGGGTCATGATTTGAACAAATTTGAATCTACACTACCTGAGGATGCTTTTATATCAATATGACTAATCATGGCTTTGATTTTTTAGAGGCCATCATGAAAAAAAATTGTTAGAGGTACTCTGATCCACATTTTCCAAGATGGATAGGTACATAGTTTTCTTTTTTTATTTTAGATTATCAAACATGTTGATAAGTGTCATAAAAAATTATAAACTGATTTTTTTTTTTAAACATATACACCTGAAAATTTCAGAACTGTTCAAAATTGAAGACTATTGCTGCATTAAAGTCATTAAGTGTGATTTTTTAACATACTAAAAAGATATGTTTACATGTTTACGCAAAGCGCCGCTCACAATGCGAGCTCGAACAACGCCTGGGTGAAGAGAAAATTCAGAGTTTACACGTTGATTCAAATGATTTTTTCTGCAGTTACCTTGACCAACACTGCATCTCATTGCTAACTTTGTTATCACTTTCATAACAATTAAGAATATCATGAAAAAATAAACTCACCTTGATTTAATGGATATTGCATACAGAGAGTAGATTAATTAAACATTCTTTGTTAACATTTTAAACTTCATTTATGGAAATGCAGCTAACATTTGACATCATGTTATGTCACAGTCTAGACGTTCCAAATGTCTCATGCGGTTTGAGATCTTAGTTAAAAGTGAATATCCAGTAATACACAACTGTGCTCGCCCCAACGGGCACATTGTCAACATACAGTTTTAATACTTTATTTCTAAAGTAATTTTCAAGTAGCTAAATAAACCTATGCATGTAACTCAAACTACAAAGCCAAAAGTGTAGAAGTAACGTTCTAAATTAAACCTTGTTTAAACAAATCACTTTCACATTCTATTAAAATATACACAGACATAAACAGTCATTCTTGCTTTAAAACATGGCAGCATGCCATACATGGAGTGGATCATCTTGATGATGAGGAAATTAATGATCTGCATTTCAATTTACATTTCTTCTGTTTTTCACACATTACCTTCTTCATTTTTAATGGAAAGCTGTAGTATGTTCCTTACTAAAAGTAAAAAATGGCCTAAAAGTTCATTTGCGATGAAAGAGAAGATAAATATTTGGCAAACAGTAAAGAGAACTTCAGACTAACACTCCACCATGTTTTGTCTGCACCCAAAGTATCTGATCAATGTTACTAAAGTGTTTGAATTTGTACACTGCATTCTCACTTTGTGAAACATTTTTGCGATTACATATATGAATGTATTTTTTTTTCTTACAATAAATTTCACAAGAATAAAATTGATTTAAGATTAAATTTTTCTGATTGTTTAAGATAAATTTAACATAAAATAATGGCATATCAAAATAGGGATTTTTGATTGGTTTTCATCTTCTGAGAACTAGTTTACGCTAATTAGTGTAGCAACGAAAATAGCTTCAAAATGGCGACTGGGGGATGAATTGATTTGTTTTGTTCGAATAGATTGTGGCCTCTTCTCTTTTAATTTGAATTGCATCGTCAGTAACTTTGCCAAGATGTCTATGATTGCAAAGAATCGCACAAAGAGTTCCTGGACACCTTTGAGTAACGAGGAAACCAATAATAAGGTAATCTCCTAGACAAGCAGGTGCCCGTTCTTCCCGCATCCACAAATAGTTTTAGCGAAGACTTGAATAACAGTATCTGTGTATCTGGCTCTGTAAACCATTTAGTATTATGAAAGAAACTCAATAATAAACCATAGCTTTGAAAATTCAGCATAGTTGTATATTTATTGAATTGACGTTCAAATTCATGTTGTGCGAAGGCATATGCCTTTGTTTTGCTTCAATGCTTATGAGTAATTTTATAGGTTTAATATTATGATTACTTATGAAACTGTAGTATCAGGTAATAAAACAGTTATTAAGGGCCTAAATCAGGTAATAGATCGAACTGTATTTCCCTCAGTAATGGGAACAGCTCATTTTGTTCCATTGCCCTCAGCTATTGGGTCTTGGCAATAGAATACAATGATATAGCTGCTTCCAGCACCCAAGGAAATATATTTCGATCTATTGCTGATTAGGCATTAGGGCTGCCACGAATCAGAAAATTTTCTTATCGATTCGGTTCAAAGAAAAACCTCAGTTTTCGAATATTTTTGATTCGATTATAAGAAAAAGAACCTTTTTTATTTTTGTATAAAATATGTAATGTTTGATAATTCAAAATAAATAATGATTCATACTTTAATTAGATTTATTAATGTATGTATTTATGGAATGTAAAGCCAAGAAAACAAAGGAAATACGTAATGTTTTAATTACAAAGAATGACCCAAGAATCAAATGTCTGAAATTCAAATTATTAAAATACTGGTCATTGGTTTCAACAGATGAAACATGCAAACAAATCTTTCAAACAAAACCAATGATTTCATATGCTAAACATAAAAGTATTGGTGATTTGCTTACAAAAGCTATTTTGCCACAATAGAAATTACGGTTGAATTCCTGATGTGATATAAAGTTTTGATTCACCAATACGATATCAAACCGCCGAAACACATTGCTGTCATAACAATACAGTCAATAATTAATTTCACATTCAAAACAATGTCAATATTAAAAAAAAAAAAAAAAAAAATTAAGAAAATTCGTAGCACTAGTGTCGGGTCCTCTAAATTCAGAATTCTGTGGCTGATGGATGTTGCCTACTAGTAAATGCACGTATCTTCTGTGCCATCTTTCCGTAGAAAATGGAACTTGGAAGTAGTCCCCCACCAACTTCTTCACGGCCATTTTCGTGTTTTTGTTTACTATAACATGATTTGCCATCATTTCTTCCGATCAACCAATCAGAATGTGCCTAACAACGGAGGATGTTAGTCTGAAAAAATCAAACCTGAATTGAATCAAAATCCGGGAAAAAAGTAGTGAATCGAACCGAAAGATTTTGAATCGCGGTTAACTGATATTTCGGTTAATCGTGGCAGCCCTATTAGGCATTATATAACCATATAATTATGTTCATGGTTATATTTAACATTTTTGATTCTTCCACTGCATTAAATTGACTAGACCAAACTATGTTCTATGATACTAATTCATGTTTCTTTTAAGTCATTAGATGTAGATTTTAGGTTTTCAGCTCACTATTCCAAAGGCTTTTTTTGATTATATGTGATCATTTTTATACTTTTTAGATATTTGAAGAAAGATCTTCCTTGTTAGGAAAATGGGTGAGTATTCTGACAGACTTTTGCCATAATGGTGTATGTACTTGCTGATAAGAGAAAAAAGTTACAGCCATAATGATTAATCAGCTGTAATACTTATTTGTTCTATCATTCATCAATTGACAATGCAGATGAAAATGCCCTTTTTATACCCCCCGCAAACGAAGTTTAGGGGGGGTATATTGGAATCACCATGTCCGTCTGTCTGTCCGTCTGTCTGTAGACAAGATTTTGTCCAGAGCGTTTCTCGGAAACTATTGCATAGATTTGTCTGAAAATTTGTACACTTATTATTCACCATATGAAGGTGTGCACCTGGTATTTTCATCATGATTGAATAATTTTTCTGCATTTTACAGGTGTTTTTGTTCATTTTTATTATGTGATTTTGTCCTGACCTTTTCTCAAAGGCTATTTCATAGAATTGTATGAAAATTCGCACACTCATTATTTACCATATGAAGATGTACACCTGATATTTTCAACATTATTTGATAATTTTTCTGCATTTTACAGGGTTTTTTTTTTTTCATTTTTATTGACTTAGTCATTTTGGGTTTATTTCTAAGGTTTGAGACATAGAATCTAGAACATCTGTACAAAAATGTGAACTACAGCTTAAAACTATTCCTTAAAACAAAAAAAAATCACCAAGTATTAAAAACAATTTTTACATTACACATCAGATAGTGTAAATCCGTTTGTCCCTTGGGAGTAATGAGTGGACATCATCCAGTTAAAGATAAATTAATGAGTTCAGTGTGGGAAGCTGTTAGAGCATCTCTGATCAAGCAGGTGTTATCTATATCTCCTGGGAATTTAAAGATCTCTGTTCTTTAATTCTCTTAATTGTAATTTATTGTCTGTCATAGTACATAGTTACTGGATGACCAGCCTTTTATTTTTAAAATGAATTTGATATAAAGTTATCAAGATTAATTTGATTTTGTAATTAATTGTTTTGTTTTTTTTCAACAATCAATTTGCAGAGTGTCATGTCTCAAAAAGATGACAGATAGTTGCAATTTATTTTTTCAATGTATTAAAAAAAACAATGTAATTACAATGTATTGGTATTGATGTTTTATTAGGTTGTTCCTTGTTTTCATTCATTAAAAAAAAAATATAATGAGCAATTATTTTTTCACTCTAAATGTTTGTAAGAAAATTGCATGTGAACACCTCTTAGATCCATAAAATATTAGTGATTTGGCACCTCTGAAAAACCCAGCGGGGGGTATTTGTCCCTTTTGGACAGTTCTAGTTTCAAACTTGAGAAATCAATACATGTATATTTTCTCTTTGTTTCAGTTATAAAGCACACATTGGACAATATTTTGTGTGTTCTATTTGTTAATACCTTTTCTTACAGTATGATAAGTGGACAGATGAACAAAGAAGAAAAGTTTTAGAAGACTTGATGAATAGGTCTAAAATAAAACAGCTAAAATTTGTGCAGGAGATTGTGAATGAAAAAGTACCGTGTATACGTGAAGACTTTACCAGAGAACTGCCAAAAATTTTATCTATTTACATTTTTTCATTCCTGGACCCCAGAAGTTTAAGTCGATGTGCGAGGGTAAGTTTAGCTCTTTATTTCATATACAGATTTTAAATTTTGAAGTACATTTAATTTCCTGCATATTTGAATAGATTATTGTGTCAATTTCTTATTTTTTTTTATTCAGTAAGTATGAAGTGAGGGATGCCTACATGTTTCTTTAAAAGAATACATAAAATTATTCAGATTTAAGAAAGAATTCCTGCATCAGAGGATTTGTTTGAGAATATACCCCGATTATTGAGAGATTTCGTTGGGAAATAAAAAATGTAGCCGGAGGGGCAAGTTTGTTTTCATACAAATCTTGAGACTGAAGGGTGTATTTTACAACATTGAGAATTATTTTCTATTCTGCTAGAGTGCATTTTTAAACCTCTTTATAGAAAAACAAAAAAGGGAGACTTAGATGTCGAGAGCAGTGTCTTATGACATCACATTTATATGCTATGTACTCCTCGTTCATTTTGAATGCCAGGCATGTGCAATGTATTCTCAGTCTCAAGTAAACTTTTTCCCACTTTGAGGTGTATTTGTGTCATGATCAAAAGACGCCTTGATCCTTGATTCTAGTGATAACCATAGTTGAGATTTTATTAAACTCACTCCATGGAAAATAAAATAAAAACAGTTCAACTTTGATATTAGTGTATTTGCCCACCCCAAAAAGAGGGAAATGACGTTGATTGTTTAAACTACTTAATCTGAATCAAATTTTCCTTAGAGGGTTGATTACATCCAAAAAATAAAATTAGAATAGACATTAAAATAGACATTAAAAAGGATTTGCTTTCCTCTTTACCTGAATAACATTAATTTTCTGAATTCTGAGGCCAAAAATAAAAGATGATTTGTTTGATGTACTTAGACCGACCCATTAAAATTGCCCCTACCCAATCGTTTTTTTTTTTTTCAGTACTTCAAATTCTTTTTTTCTAAAACAAATTATCTGTATTGTTTTTAAAGTTAAGGTCTATCAATTCTCTAAGATACTTTTTAGATTAAAAGATTTTACAGAAATAGATAACTTCTTTAAATTGTTTAGCTGTCAGGTGTCTATAATGAAAATTTCTAAGTCTGTGGTTTATAAGCAATTGTCAAAATGTTAGAAAATATTTTTTTTTTTTTTTTAAAAAAAAAAACAACCTACCCACCTTAAAAAATGTGGGTCGGAGTACATCAAACAAAAAAATTTTAATGGTGGCCTGATTAAATGTTTTATCAAATGTGATGTTTTTCGTTGAATTTGATAAGGTATTTGTTTTTAATTAAATTGAGCCCAAACAATAATTATACACTTTGGAGTTCCTAGTGTATAAAAAGTGTATGTAGTTCCTATTGTGTTTTCTACTGTGCCATGACAAGGTTTGTGTGTGTTATAGGGGTTGAATGTTGTAGATTTCCAATGGATTTCATAAAGAATACAGTGTGTAATAAAAATGTTATCAAATTTACACATATTCTCATAGGTTAGCTGGTATTGGAAAACCCTATCAGAAACTGATTCCTTATGGATGCCTAAATGTCTACGATTTGGTTGGTTTCTGCCGTTTACTCCCAGTCCTTATGAAGTCGGTGTATGGAAAAGAAATTACATAGAAAATATCAAGTACATCCATGTACTCAGACCTAGGGTAAGATTATAAGTAACAAGTACATCCATGTACTTAGACCTAGGGTAAGAATATAAGTATCAAGTACATCCATGTACTCAGAACTAGGGTAAGATTATAAGTATCAAGTACATCCATGTACTTAGACCTAGGGTAAGAATATAAGTATCAAGTACATCCATGTACTCAGACCTAGGGTAAGAATATAAGTATCAAGTACATCCATGTACTCAGACCTAGGGTAAGATTATAAGTATCAAGTACATCCATGTACTCAGACCTAGGGTAAGATTATAAGTATATTTATCTGTCATATAGGTTAAGAAAGTACAATGTATCAACACAACGACTAGGCCCAGGGTAAGAAAGTATCAAGTACATCCATGTACTCAGACCTAGGGTAAGAATATAAGTATCAAGTACATCCATGTACTCAGACCTAGGGTAAGATTATAAGTATCAAGTACATCCATGTACTCAGACCTAGGGAAAGAATATAAGTAACAAGTACATCCATGTACTCAGACCTAGGGTAAGATTATAAGTATCAAGTACATCCATGTACTCAGACCTAGGGTAAGATTATAAGTATCAAGTACATCCATGTACTCAGACCTAGAGTAAGATTATAAGTATATTTATCTAGATAGATAAAGGTTAAGAAAGTATCAACACAACGACTAGGCCCAGGGTAAGAAAGTATCAAGTACATCCATGTACTCAGACCTAGAGTAAGAATATAAGTAATGGATTTATGCCGAATACTGTTCTATATGTAAAATTATCAGACTGTTTGAGGCCCGTTAGGGCCGAAAACAGTCTGATAATTTTACATATAGAATTGTATGAGGCATATATCTTACTTAAAACATTGCTATTTAAATGTCCAAAAGTTACCTGGAGGAGTCCGATAATTACACAATAGGAGTTCAGGCATCAATAGTTTTCTACCTGAAACCATCTAATAAGTAGACAAAAGAAAAGAGAAAGTTTTTTTTTAAAACAGTAAAATCAGTGAGTGAACTCTTTTGTTTCATTCATTCAATGGCAGTCGTTTGGCTTAGCAGGAACTATGGACAGTGGTCAGGTGATGAGGGATTTTTTTATGATTCGCAATATTTTTTTTTATTAAGTGCGTTTGACATTGATACAGATACAGTGTTGGATGATATCTTCGAAATGCATTTAAAGTAATAATGCGGATTTTTATCTAAATTTTGATAGGATGATATAATGAAAATCTTGGGTTTTAAAAGTGCGGTCATCATGGTCATTGGCGAACAAACCTCGTTAAATGAAGAGATTCGCAGACTGGTTCTTTATCAGAAATGGATTTAAATTGGCTTATTCCCAGTGATGTATCGAAAACGCTTTGCAAAAAAACTGAATGGAAAGTGTTACTTTTGAGGAAGTTTAAGACTCCAGTTTCTTCTTGGATTTGCTATTTTTAACAACTTAATTTCCTCGCGTTCGCTTACCCTGAATTTTTTCTCCCTAACCTTTTTTTGGTTTCTGGACAAATTAAACCTTGATTTCACTCTTGTTGTTGTTTTTTAACTACTGTCCGATTTTGTTATCACTGCCGTCCGATAATATATTATTGGACTGCTAATCATTATTATCGGACGACTACAGGTAAATTTTTAGACTGCAAGAACAAAGGCATGACGTCACAGCAATGTTTTAAGTATATTTATCTGTCTAAATATCAGTTAAGAAAGTATCAACACAACGACTAGGCCCAGGGTAAGAAAGTGTCAAGTACATCCATGTACTCAGACCTAGGGTAAGAATATAAGTATATTTATCTAGATAGATAAAGGTTAAGAAAGTATCAACACAACGACTAGGCCCAAGGGTAAGAAAGTATCAAGTACATCCATGTACTCAGACCTAGAGTAAGAATATAAGTATATTTATCTAGATAGATAAAGGTTAAGAAAGTATCAACACAACGACTAGGCCCAGGGTAAGAAAGTATCAAGTACATCCATGTACTCAGACCTAGAGTAAGAATATAAGTATGTTTATCTAGATAGATAAAGGTTAAGAAAGTATCAACACAACGACTAGGCCCAAGGGTAAGAAAGTATCAAGTACATCCATGTACTCAGACCTAGAGTAAGAATATAAGTATATTTATCTAGATAGATAAAGGTTAAGAAAGTATCGACACAACGACTAGGCCCAGGGTAAGAAAGTATCAAGTACATCCATGTACTCAGACCTAGAGTAAGAATATAAGTATATTTATCTGTCTAGATATAGGTTAAGAAAGTATCGACACAACGACTAGGCCCAAGGGTAAGAAAGTATCAAGTACATCCATGTACTCAGACCTAGGGTAAGAATATAAGTATATTTATATGTCTAGATATAGGTTAAGAAAGTATCAAATAACACAACAACTGGGCCCAGGGTAAGAAAGTATCAAGTACATCCATGTACTCAGACCTAGAGTAAGAATATAAGTATATTTAAAACATTGCTGTGACGTCATGCCTTTGTTCTTGCAGTCTAAAAATTTACCTGTAGTCTTCCGATAATAATGATTAGCAGTCCAATAATATATTATCGGACGGCAGTGATAACAAAATCGGACAGTAGTTGAAAAACAACAACAAGAGTGAAATCAAGGTTTAATTTGTCCAGAAACCAAAAAAAGGTTAGGGAGAAAAAATTCAGGGTAAGCGAACGCGAGGAAATTAAGTTGTTAAAAATAGCAAATCCAAGAAGAAACTGTAGTCTTAAACTTCCTCAAAAGTAACACTTTCCATTCAGTTTTTTTGCAAAGCGTTTTCGATACATCACTGGGAATAAGCCAATTTAAATCCATTTCTGATAAAGAACCAGTCTGCAAATCTCTTCATTTAACGAGGTTTGTTCGCCAATGACCATGATGACCGCACTTTTAAAACCCAAGATTTTCATTATATCATCCTATCAAAATTTAGATAAAAATCCGCATTATTACTTTAAATGCATTTCGAAGATATCATCCAACACTGTATCTGTATCAATGTCAAACGCACTTAATAAAAAAAAATATTGCGAATCATAAAAAAATCCCTCATCACCTGACCACTGTCCATAGTTCCTGCTAAGCCAAACGACTGCCATTGAATGAATGAAACAAAAGAGTTCACTCACTGATTTTACTGTTTTAAAAAAAAACTTTCTCTTTTCTTTTGTCTACTTATTAGATGGTTTCAGGTAGAAAACTATTGATGCCTGAACTCCTATTGTGTAATTATCGGACTCCTCCAGGTAACTTTTGGACATTTAAATAGCAATGTTTTAAGTAAGAAATATGCCTCATACAATTCTATATGTAAAATTATCAGACTGTTTTCGGCCTCAAACAGTCTGATAATTTTACATATAGAACAGTATTCGGCATATATCCATTACTTATCTAGATAGATAAAGGTTAAGAAAGTATCAACACAACGACTAGGCCCAGGGTAAGAAAGTATCAAGTACATCCATGTACTCAGACCTAGGGTAAGAATATAAGTATATTTATCTGTCTAGATATAGGTTAAGAAAGTATCGACACAACAACTAGGCCCAGGGTAAGAAAGTATCAAGTACATCCATGTACTCAGACCTAGGGTAAGAATATAAGTATATTTATCTAGATAGATAAAGGTTAAGAAAGTATCAACACAACGACTAGGCCCAGGGTAAGAAAGTATCAAGTACATCCATGTACTCAGACCTATAGTAAGATTATAAGTATATTTATCTAGATAGATAAAGGTTAAGAAAGTATCGACACAACGACTAGGCCCAAGGGTAAGAAAGTATCAAGAACATCCATGTACTCAGACCTAGGGTAAGAATATAAGTATATTTATCTGTCTAAATATCAGTTAAGAAAGTATCAACACAACGACTAGGCCCAGGGTAAGAAAGTGTCAAGTACATCCATGTACTCAGACCTAGGGTAAGATTATAAGAATATTTATCTAGATAGGTTAAGAAAGTATCAACACAACGACTAGGCCCAAGGTAAGAATGTATTAAGTACATCCATGTACTTGTACCCAGGGTAAAAAAAAATAGCAAGTACTTAATTTACCTAGACCCAGGGTAAAAAAAATAGCAAGTACTTAATGTACCTAGACCCAGGGTAAAAAAAATAGCAAGTACCTCTCAAGTAAATCTATGTACCTAGACCCAGGGTTAAAAAAATAGCAAGTACCTCTCAAGTATATCTATGTACCTAGACCCTGTGTAAGAATGAGTCAGGTATATCTATGAATCAAATGTAGGTTGGGAAAATATCAAATACATTCATATAGATAGGCCCAAGGTAAGAAAATATCATGTGCATTGATGTATCTAGACTCAAGGAATCATCAAGGACATTAATGTACTTAGGCTCAATGTGAAAGTATCAAGTTCTCCCATTAAGTTAGACCACAGGCCTAGAGTAAAAAAATCAACTTTAAATTGTTGATAGATTGTGCAAATACAATGCAACTGTTTGCTGCAGTTCAAACACTGTCTGTTTACATGTGAATGACCAGGGGCCCATGCTTATTTCAAGTAAAAAAAAAACGGGTCAATTTTGGAATTGATTTCACCATATCTTGGGAAGTATTAGGAATTTTTGAATGAACTTTGGTAGTAAAGTAGATTGTTTATATGTGAATAGATTTGAAAAGAAAGTAAACTTTTAGTATTTCATTGGCAAAAGTGGTTAACATATGTAAAGCGTTTCATACATCTATCTTTTATTACACCCCATATTTTTTGTAAGTCAGATAAAAGTGATCCGAGGCCAGTGAGTTAGACTCAAGATAGTAAGATATCAAGTACATGCTGACTGTAGAGTCATAAATGCAGGGTCAAGATAAATCAAGGACATCTATTTCTCCAATCATTACTGAGTAAGGACAAATTAAAAAAAAACTTTGTCATCTGGTATACCCAGTTATGTAAATAAAATACACTGTGCACTGAAATATCAAACTAACATTTATATAAAAAAGATAAATTATTTTTTAACATTTTTACGAGTTATATAATGTTGATGATTTTTTTTATAGGACACAACGCTGATGCTTGAAAACCTGCAGCTGGAGACGGAGAAAAAGCGGGCTAAGTCAGTGAGGACCAGTAAAGACAAACAGAAAATCACACCCTGGAGAGGGTCTGACCCCCACCCTAAAGACACGTGGAGGAATAATGTTCTGGAAAATGATGATTATGTTGACAGTGTTAAAAAGAGGTAATCTACAATGTATATAGCCTTGTTTTAAAATCTATAATAAGAAAGTACATGTACAGGTAAGAATATGCCTGTGTAGAAGTTAGTGTACCAGTAAGCTACATAATGACAATTTACTTTTTTTTTGGGTGAGATCAGGGTCATTACAGTATTGACATTTTACTTTTTTGGGTGAGATCAGGGTTATTACAGTTTTGACATTTTATCTGTTTTGTTGGTTACAGCAGGGTTATTACAGTTTTGACATTTTATCTGTTTTGTGGGTGGGAGCAGGGGTATTACAGTTTTGACATTTTATCTGTTTTGTTGGTTAGAGCAGGGTTATTACAATTTTGACAATTTACCTTAATTGTTGGTGAGAGCAGGGTTATTACAGTTTTGACATTTTATCTGTTTTGTTGGTGAGAGCAGGGTCATGACAGTTTTGACATTTTACCTCTTTTGTGGGTGAGAGCAGGGTTATGACAGTTTTGACATTTTACCTCTTTTGTGGGTTAGAGCAGGGTTATTACAGTTTTGACATTTTACCTCTTTTGTGGGTGAGAGCAGGGTTATTACAGTTTTGACATTTTACCTGTTTTGTTGGTAAGAGCAGGGTCATTACAGTTTTGACATTTTACCTGTTTTGTTGGTAAGAGCAGGGTCATTACAGTTTTGACATTTTGTCTCTTTTGTGGGTGAGAGCAGGGTTATTACAGTTTTGACATTTTACCTGTTTTGTTGGTAAGAGCAGGGTTATTACAGTTTTGACATTTTACCTCTTTTGTGGGTTAGAGCAGGGTTATTACAGTTTCGACATTTACCTCTTTTGTGGGTGAGAGCAGGGTTATTACAGTTTTGACACTTTATCTGTTTTGTGGGTGAGAGCAGGGTCATTACAGTTTTGACATTTTACCTCTTTTTGGGGTGAGATCAGGGTTATTTCAGTTTTGACATTTTATCTGTTTTGTGGGTGAGAGCAGGGTTATTACAGTTTTGACATTTTATCTGTTTTGTGGGTGAGATCAGGGTAATTACAGTTTTGACATTTTATCTGTTTTGTGGGTGAGATCAGGGTTATTACAGTTTTGACATTTTATCTGTTTTGTGGGTGAGAGCAGGGTTATTACAGTTTTGACATTTTATCTGTTTTGTGGGTGAGAGCAGGGTTATTACAGTTTTGACATTTTATCTGTTTTGTGGGTGAGAGCAGGGTTATTACAGTTTTGACATTTTATCTGTTTTGTGGGTGAGAGCAGGGTTATTACAGTTTTGACGTTTTACTTTTTTTGAAGAATAATTTTTTATTGTAAGAGAGGTCTGGACTATAATGATTATATTTAAATAAGAGATGTCAGGGTTATTTGGGTTACTCAGGTATTAGGGTTAGGTTATATGTTGATATATGTTTATATGTAAGATTATATGTTAATAATTTGTAGTAGGGTGTGGGGTTATTAATTAAGGATATCCTAGTATTTTGTAGGAGAGAGTGGGGTTACTATGGTTATATTGATATTTTGTAGGAGAGAGCGGGATGACTATGGTTATATTGATATTTTGTAGGAGAGAGTGGGGTTACTATGGTTATATTGATATTTTGTAGGAGAGAGCGGGATGACTATGGTTATATTGATATTTTGTAGGAGAGAGTGGGGTTACTATGGTTATATTGATATTTTGTAGGAGAGAGTGGGGTTACTATGGTTATATTGATATTTTGTAGGATAGAGCGGGATGACTATGGTTATATTGATATTTTGTAGGAGAGAGTGGGGTTACTATGGTTATATTGATATTTTGTAGGAGAGAGCGGGGTTACTATGGTTATGGTTATATTGATATTTTGTAGGAGAGAGTGGGGTTACTATGGTTATATTGATATTTTGTAGGAGAGAGCGGGGTTACTATGGTTATATTGATATTTTGTAGGAGAGAGCGGGATGACTATGGTTATATTGATATTTTGTAGGAGAGAGCAGGGTTGCTATTGTTATATTGATATTTTGTAGGAGAGAGCGGGGTTACTATGGTTATATTGATATTTTGTAGGAGGGAGCGGGATGACTATGGTTATATTGATATTTTGTAGGAGAGAGCGGGGTTACTATGGTTATATTGATATTTTGTAGGAGAGAGCGGGGTTACTATGGTTATGTTGATATTTTGTAGGAGAGAGCGGGGTTACTATGGTTATATTGATATTTTGTAGGAGAGAGCGGGGTTACTATGGTTATATTGATATTTTGTAGGAGAGAGTGGGGTTACTATGGTTATATTGATATTTTGTAGGAGAGAGTGGGGTTACTATGGTTATATTGATATTTTGTAGGAGAGAGCGGGATGACTATGGTTATATTGATATTTTGTAGGAGAGAGTGGGGTTACTATGGTTATATTGATATTTTGTAGGAGAGAGCGGGGTTACTATGGTTATATTGATATTTTGTAGGAGAGAGCGGGGTTACTATGGTTATATTGATATTTTGTAGGAGAGAGCGGGATGACTAGGGTTATATTGATATTTTGTAGGAGAGAGTGGGGTTACTATGGTTATATTGATATTTTGTAGGAGAGAGCGGGGTTACTATGGTTATATTGATATTTTGTAGGAGAGAGTGGGGTTACTATTGTTATATTGATATTTTGTAGGAGAGAGTGGGGTTACTATGGTTATATTGATATTTTGTAGGAGAGAGCAGGGTTACTATGGTTATACAGTGGAGCCTCATTTATCCGGTCTCTTTGGTTCCCAGTCAATATGTCCGGATATGTGAAGCGTCCGGATACCTGAATTGCCTTGATTTTAGTTATATTGCCTTTCATACCATTTCAATAGTGAAGAATGTTGCTTTTTATCAATATGTTTTATTGTTTAAATACTTTAATATAAGTTAGTACTACTCAATACTTGTTTAAATAAATAAAAAGTACATGTGTCATTGGAAAAAAACGTGTTTATATGGTCACATTAATTATTTCTACTTCCCAGTGTCTAATGAATCAACTTCTCCTATAGTAGCCATGTCGGTATGGTAATGTCGGTAGAGTTTTATTTAATATGAACGCCCATCAATGCTAAATGTGACATAATCTGCATATGTATACAAACACTAATCGTAATCATCCAAAGCGAGATCATATTAACGAATGTAATTTTGAAAGTGATTTTTAAATGTCATCAAATCATAGAATGTGTTTCGCGCACAAAATACTGTGCATAAAAAAACTCCGATATCATGTTTATAAATACATAAAACCATGTTACGACTGTATTCTAACAGTAAAAGAAATATATTTGCCAATTACGAAAAAAATTATTCTACACTTATAAAATTATTTTCCTTAATTAAAACGTATCAAAACCATGTTAGAGAAGCGAGAGTCTCGTGCGTACCTATCGACCTACAATTAACCTTGGCGCAAGCCATTGATAACAGGTCGCAGGTGATCATCTTTAAAAACAAACAACCAGACCAGTGTTTTTACAACAATTAACACCCAGATCAAGAAATCTGAGCAGACTTGACAGACCAGTTAAAAAATTATCGTCCGGATAAATGAACCAATATATAATGTAAAAATTCATTTTGTGGTGAAAAAGGACCGTCCGGATACAGAACGCGGAATTCCGGTTAAACAAGACAAAATAACGTTAAAAAATTTCGTTCCCATTAAAAATCGACCGGATATCTTAAGGTCCACTGTATTGATATTTTGTAGGAGAGAGCGGGGTTACTATGGTTATATTGATATTTTGTAGGAGAGAGCGGGGTTACTATGGTTATATTGATATTTTGTAGGAGAGAGTGGGGTTACTATGGTTATATTGATATTTTGTAGGAGAGAGCGGGGTTACTATGGTTATATTGATATTTTGTAGGAGAGAGCGGGGTTACTATGGTTATATTGATATTTTGTAGGAGAGAGTGGGGTTACTATGGTTATATTGATATTTTGTAGGAGAGAGTGGGGTTACTATGGTTATATTGATATTTTGTAGGAGAGAGCGGGGTTACTATGGTTATATTGATATTTTGTAGGAGAGAGCGGGGATACTATGGGTATGAAGCAGAAGACATCACTAAGCATGCCAAGAGTAAAGTGAAGACAGGAACCAATGTTCTAAATCAGAGCAGGAAGTCCCAGTCTCTATCTGTAAGTTTTCTTCAACATTCATCATCAAGTTTTCGAAATTTGAAGTTTCATATATAATTGTGCTTTAATTGCCTTTTCCCTATTTATCTAAGGATGTTGGCAAATAGATAAAGGATAAGATAGGCTAAGACCCCTTTTTGACCCCTGGTTTGGGGTGTCTTTTAGAATGATGCAACAGTTTATCAATAAAAACCTGTTGTCACCCCTGCCACAAAATGAGTATTGGTTCTAAGTTATGGGGTACACAAAGGTCATGGAAAGGTCAGAAATTATGTCAATTTCTGAATTTTCTCATTTTTATGCAATTTTTCATCGATTTTACAGCACATTTGTTTCAGAAAACATAAAGCACAAGCTTGCCTATCTACCAATTTTATATGTTTCATACACTAGTATCAGATGCATCTTGTGTATAAAAATCTCAGATAGGCAGGCTTTTGCTCTATGTTTCCCAAAGTGAAAAGTATCTCAATTTTGACTAAATTCCACCAGAATTGAGGAAATTCAGGAAAATGTCCTACTTCTGCACCCTCTTGTGGCCTCTATGTAGCTTTGAATCAAAATTATCGCTGGTTTTAAAACAAGCATCATTTTAAGGTGTTAACTACAAACTATCAAAGTTTTGTCTTCTGATTTTTACATCAGATAAGGGGCCAGATTCTGCCGTTACCATACCTTGTCCTTTTATATCGTACCTTTTTGTGTTTCTACATCACTTAATGTCATAAGCAAATAGAAACATATGTAGCCATTGAAGATCAAGGTATAATAGGAAGTTATATAAATCCAACTTGCTGTTTGTTTCCTAATCCCTTGTCTTGCTGTTTGTTTCCTAATCCCTTGTCTTGCTGTTTGTTTCTCATTCCCATGCCTTGCTATTTGTTTCCTAATCCCTTGTCTTGCTGTTTGTTTCCTAATCCCTTGTCTTGCTGTTTGTTTCTCATTCCCATGCCTTGCTGTTTGTTTTCTATTCACTTGTCTTGCTGTTTGTTTCTCATTCCCATGCCTTGCTGTTTGTTTTCTATTCACTTGCCTTGCTATTTGTTTCCTAATCCCTTGCCTTGCTGTTTGTTTCCTAATCCTTTGCCTTGCTGTTTGTTTCCTATTCCCTTGTCTTGCTGTTTGCTTCCTATTCCCTTGTTTTGCTGTTTGTTTCCTATTCCCTTGCCTTGCTGTTTTCTACTATTCCCTTGCGTTGCAGTTTGTTTCCTATTCCCTTGTCTTGCAGTTTGTTTCCTATTCCCTTGCCTTGCTGTTTGTTTCTTATTCCCATGCCTTGCTGTTTCTTTCCTATTCCCTTGACTTGCTATCTGTCCTATTCCTTTGCCTTGCTATATTTCCTGATCCCTTGTCTTGCTTTTTGTTTCCTATTCCCTTGCTAATTGGCTTTCAACTCTGAGATAAACTCACAAAAAGTGGCAGATCCTATCAGCCAAATAACAAACAGCATAAAATATTTCAAGTAATCTACTGAACAGTATCATCATAAGAATTGAATGCCATCATTACACAAGAATATCACTAACTCAGTAAGTTTGAATTCTCGTAGTAGCTTTTAAGTTATTCGGAGGTCACTAACTCAGTAAGTTTGAATTCTCGTTGTAGCTGTTAAGTTATTCGGAGGACGCCATGACGAATCAGAGACCCCAGTGGGCGACCATGAACTCACCCTATGTGTCATTTGAGGCCAAGGTCGTGGATAAAAACAAACGCAACATAAGTCCAACTCGCAATACTATCAATTCTTCACAGACATTTTCACCAATCAAATCAGGGTCACGACCTGTAACAGCAAGATCAGAAAGAGACCCGCCCAGTGAGTATCTCATGCTGATTTGTAATATATATGCTTATACAACATATGGCTCATAACAAGAAGAAAACAATTACCTGTTACTGTAAACAAAAGAATTTATTAATAATGGCTATTTCTACCAATATTAAGAAACCAGCTTAAAATGTAGATATTATCAGCTTTAATCTTTCCAAATCATTCTCTGTATTATAATATATTTCCATATTTATTTTAAATCATCACAGATTCTTAAAATGAATGAATATGTAGCAAAAAATTGTTGTGCACAAGAAGTTGGCTTATTGTGGAGTTCACATAGTGAACAGCACATACAACATCCAATGATTGAGGAATAAATAATACATTCTCAAACACCAGTTTGCATTTACCAGAAGTAACCTGATAACTCCTTAAGTAACACAGTGAAAATATAAATCATATGATATTATGTATGTCCTCACCAACTGTTTTTATGACTAGATTTGTAAAGATTTCTGTAGTAATAAGGGAGAAATCAATTTATTTACATGTACAAAACAAAAACAAACAAACAAACAGAAAAAAGAATGAAATTTGCCTGTATTGTATTAAAAGAATGAAAGTTTCATAAAAACGTGCACCAAAAGAAGTGTCCACAGAAGTTGATGCCTTAGATGTGACCAATTTCTCTGTTTGATCTTGATTTTCTCTGTATATTATATACAGGTGACTCTTGATGGCTCAAACTCCGATCTCTCGAAGTTCTCGATCTCTCGAAGTGAACCTCCGGTCCCGTTTTTTTCCTCTATATAACTAAGCAAATTTACTCCTGATCTCTCGAACTCCCAATCTCTCGAAGTTCTCTATCTCTTGAACCAAGACTTGGGCCCCGTTACACATATTTCATTGTTTTTACTCTCTATCTCTCAAAGTTTTGATTGCGCATGTATACACGTCAATCAAGCGTAAAATTAATTCAGCTTGGACTTAACAGTGAACACCTGGGGCTGGGATGGACGTGTAAATTGGGTGATTACATGATACTACACCTGTGAGTCGTCTGAGTGTTGCTATAATTAATTGGTTAATTGGTAAATTATAAACAAATCGCTTCACAACTTATTTTGACTGGACGAGATGATAATTTTGAGAAAATAATTTAGGGACGTGTCAGTAGTTTTCCATAGATAATGAACTTTAATATTATTAGAGTCTACACAATCCCAGTTTGGCAAACATTGCACAAGAAATCCTATCTCAAGTATTGTATACCGATTACGAGCAATCTTGTGAAGGACCGTTCAAACCCGTGCCCGGGGGATAGCAATATCGACAATTGCTATTCAGGTTTCATGTAATCATGAAATGAGAACAAATAAATATTGAAACTTTTATTAATCATTTTATTTATTCAAAACACGATCATTGTTATTAAAATCAAGTGATTTACCTGTAAAATATGAATGAAAACGTGTAATGACATTATCAACATATACTTCTGTATGTATAATAGTAGAACAATGATGATCGGACTGAAAATTCCGGATTTTATTTACTTTTTATCTCTCGAACCCCCCGATCTCTCGAACTTTTCTTATGGTCCCTTGAACTTCAAGAGATCAAGAGTCATCTGTACATAAAGCTTAGACACCATGATTATGGTTATGGTATCACATTTTTATGAAACAGGGCAATTATGCAGTAAACAAGTGAACATGTACCAAAAACAAGATGTCCTATAATTTTCTTGATTGGGGTGGTTGGGGGTGTAGCTGTTGATGTTACTACACAGTGTAGAAACCATTCACCTATTTCTTACTTTTCTCCCTCTCTCTGTAGCTGCCAGACTTTTCCCAGAGAAACCATGGAAAGTTCCTGATGGCATGGATTCTGATGAAGACATTTAATGTTCCAAAACCTGGTGTCCAGTCAGCCATAAATCCAGTTGATATTCCAAAGTCCAGTCAATCATAGATGTCTACTTTTAAAATACAGTTGAACTTCGGTATCTCAAACTCTGATTTGAAAGTCCCAACCACTATTTTCTTATTGTATTTTAACCCCCAATATCTGGATTGTTCAGAAATCTTGAAGTTTTTTCTCAGTCCCATAGAGTTTGAGATAACAAGGTTTGACTGTATTCCAAAACTGGTATCAACCATACATGTCCATCATATACATTGCTGTCTCATTCCACTAAATTTTTTGTGTTTGATTTCAAAAAATTCCATTGTGTGTAAAGATATTGTGCTCTGAAGGGGATTTTTAAAATTGTTTTACTTGAGAAAGTTTTTGTAAACAGAAATTAGAAACATATGTATATGTAACTTTAGATAATGTGAATGCTAAAGATTAGACTTTTTTAACATGTACCATTAATATTTTGACTATTTATATATTGATTTTAGTTTTACAATATTTATTATTTGCAGTACTTGTTTTGTATTACAAGTCCCTCCGGTACTTGGATTATGGATTCTATTGACATCATACCGTCCATTATTTATTTATTTGGGATGATGCTTTACAGGGAAATGTTTGTAGATTATTTGACTTTGTTACCATTGTTCTATAGATTTTATACAGATCTTATATATTGATTTCACTTCATATTCGAATATTAAATGTATTTTAGATTTAAATGATGAATTTTTGGAACATTGGTCTGAAGCAGTTTACCCAATCAAGATTTTTGTGATAGCTAGATTTTTTTCACTTATTGTTTTCTGTACAGACCAGAAAGGAAATTTTTAGCATACAAACTTTCATGTGAATCAATTGTCAGAAAATATTTCAAATGTAAGCACAAACAGCTGTTGTTGTTATGAATGTGGTTTTTTCAGAGATGTTGTTTTAGGATATATTTGCAAAGTTATAGTGTAGTTTCTAAGTACCATACAGTGATATTATGCTATGAGTAATGTGACAATTTTTCAGTATTGTCCAAAACAATAAATGGTAAATAGTTTATAAATTTGCTTCTTTTTGCACATAAATAAACATAACACATAATAGTGAATTGATAAAACTTGCACATTTTATTCATTAAAGCTGTCAAATACTGAAATCAATCAAAAGTAGAGAACTCTCTCAAGTAGATAAAATATAAATAAAGAAATAAATATAGTAAAGTAAAAAGATATAGTAAATGAATACATCGATCAACTCTGAGTTATCCCAGTCTTGTTACATTAATGTTCTTCATAAAAAAATCCAATTCGTCATTCCTCAGTAGAGCTCACCTTCCCTTAACCACCAAATGCAATAACTGAACTCAATGTCTGCCAGTAGCTGATTATCTCCCCCTAGTGGAGATTTCTTCCGCTAGTGGAGAACACCTTTCGTCACCAGCTGACTCTGGACAAAGTCCTGATAAGCCACTTTGCCGTCATTGTTGGTGTCCAGTTTGTTGACCTTGTCCTTTATTTCGTCATCGACCTCGACCCCCATGTCCTTGAACCCCTGAAGTATCTGTTCCTTTGTCGCGCGTCCATCCTTGTTATCATCAAACTTAAAGAAGATATTTCGTAACCTTGATGTTCTGAAAATAAATATCAAAGTAGAAAGACGGTATCATTAATAAAGTATTTAATCTCTTAATCGAATTCAGCCATAAATTTCATTAATTAGACATAATTGAAGAGTTGTAGGAAAGTACATTAAAACCTCATTATCTTGAACGTGGTGGGTCCTGGAAAAAACCAGAGACTCTGAAAAAACTTGGAAATACTGTATCCGAGGATTCGAGATTGAGTTTTTAATGCACAAAGTAAACAGTGGTTGGACTTCTAATTGACTTTGACATGATATACAAGAAATCGATTTTCTAGATATTAATGTTTAACCGTGTCGTAATTTCAGTATCCACAGTGTATGTTTGAGTGTCACTCACCCGTCCTTTACACCAGGGCGGCTCATGGCGTCGTAGAATTCGTCAATAGTAATAAATCCATCTCCCTCGATATTGATAGATTTAAGCAGCTCCTACAAGTCCATAAATAGAAATAGATGTTAACTTTGCAACAAAACTATTAACAAGAAACCCTTCTAAATGAAGAGACTCAAATTATTGCGTCACATAAAACTGTTGATAGAAAGATGGACGAAGTTATTATTCAGAAAAAGGAAACGATTCTGGTGTTCATTTCTTGCAGACCTCAGTCTATAAGATCCTTTCTAATGCTCACTGCACTAATCGTTAGATCCGCTCGCATACTTGATACTCTAACTGTTAGATCCGCTCGCATACTCGCTAACTAAATGTTAGATCCGCTCTCATGGTCACTGCACTAAATGTTAGATCCGCTCTCATGCTCACTACACTAAATGTTAGATCCGCTCGCATACTCGCTTTACTAAATGTTAGATCCGCTCGCATACTCGCTAAACTCAATGTTAGATCTACTTGCACTGTATGTTAGATCCGCGCTCGCATACTCGCTACACCAATTGTTAGATCCGCTTTCATACATATCCCCTCTCAATCTCGCTACACTTAATGTTAGATCCGCTTGAGTACTCGCTTTACTGAATAATGTACGTGAGAGTGGATCTAATTTTAATTAGATGACACTGACCTCCACTTTCCACCTCTCTCCATATCCCAGAAACATCATCAGTTTGACAAACTCCGCCGTGGTCAATTTCCCGCGGTATTCCTTGTCCATGGCGGTAAATTCGGCCTTGAAATAGAGCTTCTCGTAATCGATTGGGTCTGGATCCGCCCCCTTCTTTTCAGAAGCATCATCTTTGGCTGTTGTGCATTTACTGCAATTAGATATTTTTATCAACACTTAAATATCCGGATTGCTATGCAATGCCGTGGTCAGTAATACAACAACACTGAATTGAATGCACAACACTTAAGATGACCACCCATCGTAACACTTTTTTTTTCATACACATAATGCATGGCTGTAGAAACCGGAGGGGGGGGGGGTTCCCCCAATAATTTTGCCGATAAATAATATACTACACAAAACAAAGCTTCTTTATGGGTGTGGCCCCCCTCAATAATTACGTCTGATGAAAACATTTGGTCGTGCCCCAAGCTGATTTTGCTTCCTTCAGGCCTGTAATGAACATTTTTTCCAAGGTCATGTTTCATATTTAAACATTTGTGAGTCTCATATGACTTTAAAAAAGCTGCTTGATAAAATATGTTGTTTGATCATGGTTAAATTAACACCTTGAAAAACTGCTCTCTCTCTCTCTCTCTCTCTCTCTCTCTCTCTCTCTCTCTCTCTCTCTCAATTTAACATATGTTCACCATAGTGAGGTTTAAAAGTTATAGGGAGATATAAACGTGAATTCGATTTTTTAAGAGTAACAACTTTCACCACATACAGAGGTAATATTGAGACTTTATTAATTGCAGATACACTTGTTTTACTATCGATATTTTGTGCAACATTATGTACAGTACAAGACTTGAAAGATTAATGAGTCGGGAAGGGGGATTGGGGAAATTCCTCTTTTAAGTTTAAAAAAGGCAAATGAGACATCAAAAAGATTTGAGCAATATAAATCATTGGGATTCTACAGCTATTCTTTATATTTTACTGAAGCACTTTAAAATGAGCACCTGAAGCCAAAAACAAAACAAAAAAAAAGTCATTTTTCTTCGTCATTGAGCTAGTGCATGTTGTAACTCCCTTCTCACGTAGAAAATCTCAACATCAAGTCATATTATGCAGAAATGAAAAATTAACCAGATGCCATCGATTTCTGCTTTGATGCATGCATATATTTATACCGAATTCATCAATGCTCTAAATGACAATTGCTAAATCTTAATTATCTTTTTTTTCACAAAAATTTTGAAGTGTTTTAATATTGTAAAATTAAAAAAAAGAACAATGTTAGAACAGTAACTTGGTCCGCCTACCACGTATCACATTTCAGTCAAGTCCCTATAAAGCTCTATCATAGAAAAAAATAACATCGCAACGGAATTCATGATTTTCTCCAAGTATAATGAAGTGCAGATACACCGCGCAATCAAGCACGCGCTCTGTAGCGCGCGTTCTACCTACCCCTCCATGCTCTGATATTTAGATTTCTTTCCTCCCATGGTGACAGTCCCCCCATATAAACCAACAAGACACACAGCTGTCTCCCTCAGCCAGTGAACTCTATCGGGCTTGCTACGCCTCGCATCACATTCGCATTATAACAGGCTAACGCCGTACCACGGCACTTCTGTATCAATCTTTTCTATCATTATCCCAGTCAACAATCGGCATAGGACAATGTATTGACTTGCCCTTGAATTTTCCGTAATTAATTCCAATATTTCTTTTTTTCTGTTCAGCCATAGTCCTATTAATATGAAAGATATTTTTGTGTATTTGTTCTTACACTGATGGCACCAGATCTGAATTGCATTTCTGGCAAAATCAAGTTTACAGCTAAATCTCCGATCATAAGTAATAAAAATAGAATTAAACTGTCTGGCATGTTCATATGTTTGATCAATACATCAACAGCTGACTACGAAGCTCGCGTTAAATTATTTACAAGATAAAAACAAGGTAAACACGTTATGTATCAATTTAATAAACGATGACTAATAAAAAGAGGAAAATATTTGAAAAAAAAAAAGAATAATAAAAAACAACATAGATTCAATGAGCGAGGCAGTGTCAGTGACTGAAAGTGATGAGATTCGAGAAAACCGGATATTTGTGTTTAAAGTAACTTTGTTTTAATAGATTGTATGACAGAAGCTGATTGTAAGCCTTGCGTAATTCTATTTTACATGTACGATAAACACACACATATATACATACACTGTATCGAGAAGGAAGATTATGCGATAAAACAAAAAAGAAACACCCCCTCCCTACCCCCACTCCTCCTGGGGGAAAATTGAAATTAAAAAAAAAACAACTAAAAAACCTATATAAAAAATGAATCATAAGCTGAAAACTAATTAAATATTTTTATGATACGTCTCTACGTCACAGACACGCTGGAATGATATGATTAATGACTATCTTCTGGTCTTGTTGAGGTATTTTAATGATAAGTAATATATTTTCTTAGTTTTCAAAGTAATTATACTTTTTCCTCAATTGTTATATAGAGCTTTTTTATATGTTTGATTTAGGGCCGATTGTACTGAAATTGTGGAAACACAGGATCGAGTATTTACATGTATGTGTTTCAATTTGTTACATTCAAGGATAGCGAATAAACTCTCTCTCTCTAGCAATTATAAATAGTTTTATGACAGCTTCACCACCAAAGCTTTATTTCAAGTAGGACATCCTGATTCAAGTTTATTATATAAGCTAGATAAAACAATTTGTTTGATTGTCTGTTAATCGAACAAATCATTCTTATCTAGATCATTATACCATTGAAATACGTTAATATTGCAAGGAAAACTGAATAGACTGACTAGAATACCACCGTGACATCTCCGGAAAATGAACTTAAAGGGAACTTTTACTCTTGGACATTTCTATGTCCTCTGTCGCTATATACATGTAAAACCAAGGAGATATAGCAAACATTCGTAGTTCACTGTTTTATTTTGAGGAAGAGTCTCTCCAGAAAAATTAGGCATGGAACCCTCAAGCTTTATGAAAATACACTGGCCAGATTTAATGACATCGTAAGCAGGGAGGATGTCACCTTAAAGTATTATTAAAATTCATCAACTTTGTTATGATACAATTGGACAGGGCCAGGTGTATCTATACATAATGGAGAACAAACGTATACGTAGTGCATTCGACAACAATCCGATTCGAAGAAGAACGAATACAGCGAATAATTCTCTAAAACAAAAACTGGAGATTGACTCGATATATTCCAGTAAAGTGAAATAAAAGACACCACTGTCTGCCACGTCTGTTTTCATATGTTGATATTTTACTGACTATGGACGTAACATAACAACTAAAGTAAAAAACGAACTGGGTGACTTTAGTTTTTCCATCTTCAAGTTCACTATTATATATAGATTTATAATATTCCACTATCACCTGTATAATGGTATTTACTAGTTCACAACTGATTCAGTGCACAAGAGCATAATCTGAGTACGATCAAATTTAAATAGAGGCAGGCCACTGACAAATGAGTTGATGTTACGGGAATTTAAAGTCAACATTTCGCAAATTCTATGATCGTTATCATGTTATCGTTTGCAAATACAACCTATTGTTGGTACCTACTAGTATTTTGCTTGTCATGTTTTATTAATTTTAATTGTTAGGCCGTTGTTTTACTTACTTATTTTGACTACGGGCTACTCCGTTCACCTGAACAATAAAGAAAACTCACCGCTTGTCACATTCCGTTATCTTCATCTTTTTCATTATAAAGTGAATATAAGATAGATATTTGTAATAGTCGGCTAATACGAACACCGATATAGGGGAAATGATAAATGTTTATAATATTGTTAGGAGTTCAATAACACAAAATTGCCTTCGTATTGATTGTCATTTTTCTGTATATTCGTCTTAATAGCAATGAATTATCAGGTGTTGCTTTTTTCGTCGATCAATATGAGGATAAAGACAGAGAAAACCCCCCATTAATTTCAAGAACAATACTTACCAGCATTTACTGCCCATTTTCGGTTTTGACATAAGGAAATTTGGCCTAGTTAAAAATAGAGATGTATAATTGAATTTCCAGCGTCCCAGATGAGAACACGTTTTGAATTGGCTGCTATAAACGCCTAATTACACCTGTACATGTACAACAGCTTGGAGGAGATGGAATATTAAACCTCCATATAGTCAAACCTCCATACTATACTGAGTGGTTTAGAGAAGTTTCTTAGTCTTTTGAATACTTACCCATCATGTGTTGTGATGTATTTACATTTGCACCGACCCGGTTCAGAAAAGTTTGAGTGATATGTATATCAAACATTATATGTCATATAAATATTGACACAATTGTGATAAGGATAACGCTGCTGTTGTTTTTTACTGTTTAAATATCTACTACCATTGGTGTATAGGCTTGGTATTATGTATAGAATGGTAACGCAGTACATGTTGTAACTTGTGACGTCATAACTACTACATGTTGAAAGCATGTTCAAAATTACAGAGAGAAATTATGTCCAATTGTCATAATGTCAATATTAATCTTCATTTATTTGATCATACCATTGCTCCAATTCTTCTGTATGGTTGTGAAATTTGGGGGACTTTTAACCCCTTTGCTTCCAAATTTAAAAACAAAGATATTACAATGGACAAAATATTTAACAAATTAAAATGTGAAACAACGCACATTAAATACTGCAAAGCTATTCTTGGTGTGCTTAGAAAGAAAGCTAACTTTGCAGTTCTATCTGAGCTAGGTAGATTTCCACTGTATCATAGAATTATTAAAGCTATGCTAAGTTATTGGTTTCGACTTGAAACACTACATCCATCTTTTGTCCTACTCAAGGAAGCGTATTCAGTCTCAAAAAAGCCTCTTTCTACACAATAAACCATCATGGTTTGCATCCATCCAGACAATTTTGGGTCAGTTATCTGATTTAAAAAATATTGATTTATCAAAACAAAGCATTTATTCATTTAAAAAGAAGTCATCATGTATTATAAGACAGTATTTTATAAACCTATGGTATAAAGAAAATAAAGAGCAAAATAATGGCAAACTAAGAACTTATTCCACTTTCAAAAACAACTTTGGAAGAGAGCACTATCTAAACATTTTCAGTAACTATGATCAGAAGAAAAATGTAACTAAACTACGCATTTCTGCACATCAATTAAATATTGAAAGGGGAAGATATGCAGGACTTCCCCCTGAATCTAGAAAGTGTTCTCAATGTAATATGCAGGAGGTTGAAGATGAACAGCATTTTTTGCTTATATGTCCAAAATATAAGAATGAAAGCTTGCAATTAATGGAAACAATTTCAAAAATCAATCCAAATTTCTCTTCTTTGACACCTGCTGAAAAACTTGTATGGATTTTGAATAATGAAAATAAAGAAATTTTATGCTTACTTGAAAGATTTATTTCTGAAAATGGTAAAAGAACCAATGTATAAATACATCTGTCATCATGTACATGCATGCCTTTTCTCCAATTTTACTTTATTGTATTTTTTTTCTGAAATATATTACAATTTTAAAGGGGAAAAAAACCCATACAAATGTATAAATACATGTATGAACATGTTGTAGCATAACATACATGTATTTGTATTGTCTTGGATCAATGACAATAATTTGGACACTTGACACTGGTATTGTTTATGATTATTAACGCTGAATACAATGTTGTATAACTGTTTATGTAACTGTTTATATATATATTTATATATATATATAAACAATGTATATTGTGAATTATGTTTAAATTGTGCATTTATATATGTGGAAATGCCTCTCGGGGCCCTTGATTGGTAAATAAAAAAATACCTTGTATGTAAGCGATTTTTGAGATTGAAACTTATGTATAGACCGATTTTAACAATTTCCGAAGAAACTTTGGCAGATTTGGTAGGCCCATAGAACGCGGGGGGGGGGGGGCACTTTTCATCTAGTTTTCCTTTCATTTGCCGGTTGCCCCCCCCTTTTTTTTCTTGCTGCAAGGTCGATCACTGGCTAATCCCAGGATTTGGACAGTTAATTTTTCTTCTTGCCAGATTTTTTTGGGGAAAGTTGCCCCCCCCCCACTTTTGAAACCGTTGCTACGGGCCTGTTTGTCAGGGTGGTCTCATATCCATTTAAAACTCTCTTCGAGAAGAAAAGCCCCCCCCCCCCCCCGAAAATCCAAGGTCGTAACTACCACTGAGACAGGTGAGGCAAATGCCTCACTAATATTTTACAGTTTCTGAAAAGTGAAAAAAAAAAACTTTAATCAATTATGTGTAACTTTGTACTAAATTAATACTTTCAATTTCTGTAAATCGATCATCTCTCAATTAAAGGTGCTTCATTATAAGACCGTGGAACATTAATTGGCAAAATTGGAAATATGCAGCTTACGTCTTTTCCATCTGTTACAGTCAAAACATTTAATGATAGACAATGAAATGGGCGGGTACAATTCGGCACGGACGTCCGAGAAAACATTGGATTGAAATTCTAGTTTGAAATTCATTTTCAAGCCACCTGAGCTGTTTTCAAACGCAGAGTGTGAATGTATGATCCAAAAGACAAATAA